AGAGGAAGCTTGTTCCTAGAGAAGTAACTACCGGTACGCATACCCGCCCATCTTCATACTAATACGTTGCACTGTTTCGGTTGCCGATAGTTTCAAGCAACGAAATCGAAATCGTCGAATACACAACAACATAATATTGCAATGGCCCGGCCGCCTCAACGATCGTCTGTATCGTCCATGACATCTTCGTCATCTTCATCGGACAGACAACTCCACGTTTCCGACGCTTCGTTCGAATTCTTGATGACCGAGGTCTTGCGTTATGTGGAACGATCGACACCGCCAAAGAGTGAKTCCCCAGAGGATGCCATTTTCGCCAAGGAAATGGCGGCGGCTAAAATGGAACGGATGGGATATTCGGTGGGCTTTCGTTTGTGCGAGAGATTGTCCCAAAACAGGCTGTTTTCCGCGGGCGGGAAGGATCCTTCCTCTGTTGCGGCCGCAGCTCAGTTGGAGGCCGTCAAGTTTCTATGCAAGGAGGTTTGGATCGAGGTCTTTCGGAAGCAAATCGACAAGTTGCAAACCAATCACAGGGGCGTATTTGTATTGAAGGACATGAAGCTGCGTTGGCTGGAGGGATTGCCCGCAAATCGAGAAAACTCAAGAATAACCGCCATTCAGATGCTCGCTTTTCCCTGCGGCATTGTTCGGGGCGCCTTGGCCAACCTGGGGATTCCGGCGGTCGTTTCTTGCGATTTTTTGGCGGACGGTCAAAACATGGCGGCGTGTTCCTTCAACGTGAAAATAAAATAAAACGAAAAGAAGAATAAGGAAGCAATGGAATTCTTGTTCTTTTGTGTTGCATTGTATGGGTCCCTTGATCAGTAAATATTCTAATCGATGGGTTTTGGTACCGACAACGGGCACGTGGGTAAAGGCTCGATCAATAAGGTACCATGAACAGCCGTCACCGATACGATGCTATGCACGAGGTACTACATCACAAAATATCACCTATTGATTRATTGTTGGAGACGAGCCGAATTGAAATCAAACGAGCTGAATCAGCATCCTTGATTGATCAGCCATCTCACAATTTATTGTGAAGTAGCCTACTGTCAAACTGTTCGGCGTGTCATTTTTGCCATCAGCTGAAATGAAAGCACATAACCAGTCCTAGTTTAAAATTTTTTTTATAACGGAGTAATTGCTTCACAATRCTAGCATCATTAGTTGTGATAAATGGTAATGTCTTCTTGTTGAAATAATATATAAAGCACTGTAGTAAAATCGGCTGTATTAAGAAGGTAGAAGTAGAAGGAAACCATTTCGCTGCATCGATTTCGAAGCCTCGAAGCAAGCAGCATGATCTTCCCAATATCCACGGTATACAGGTAAACTTCAAGGTGCTGCTGGCATCATTCAAGATGATAATAACCTTCACCATGATTGCGCGCTTCGAACCCACGAGAAAAKAATCTATCGCTTTGGCGTAGATCATTATCACACCATGCGTTGTGTATCAGCTGTCCGATCATCGCAACAAGTTGCCACCGACATCATTTGYTGCCGGCAGAAGAAGAGCTTTTGCACACTTCTACTTCCACCGATCCGGGATTTTCCATCCTCCGCACGGTATCCTCGGTGATGGGTTCGATTTCGGGTTTGATGTTCCCCGATGGGTCGTCCGATCCTTGCACGTGTTCTCGCTTGATCTTCACGTCTGCAGGACACAATAGTAGGAGTAACGAAGCAACAGCATGAGTTCAAAGAAGCACAAGATGAAACAAAAGGAGGCAGATTTTTCTCGCCTACTTTCTAAAACTAGTCCTTAGCATTGTACCTACCATACCGCCCCGTCTCCTCGTTAAGATCCCCTCGCACGATCTCGTGCGTCAGCATGTGGGCTGCTTCGTCCATTCCCTTCACCAATTCCTCAAACAGCGGACCGGAAGTGGGGACGGAACGATTGGCGTCGAATTGCGCCCGCATTTGGATCCGSGATTCGCTCATGGCGTGGTCGTCTCCCCGAAAGAGCTGGATGCGGGCTCGGTTCAAGCGACGAAACCCAGCAACTGCAGTTGAAAAGGAGGGAAACATTYATCGATCGATCGAAACAAAGAACGGCGTGAGCAAACGATGGAACCAGAATCAAGGTGTTGCTCCTCCAGCCGCGAGGAATCCTCGCAATCTTCTTACAACCACGATCGCTTTGGAACGGATTATCAATGTGAGAGACGAGACCTACAGACTCGAGCGCGCGAAGCTGCTGCCGATGCCATTCTTGTTAATYTTCCTTGGGGATTGTGTGAGAAAAATATAGAATATTTTGATTGCTAGYCAATCCAAGAAGTTATTACTGGTATGCCAACTCGATACGGTGCATGAGTGAACATAMGGTATGATGCGATTCCCTTCGAGAAAACGAGAAACTAAAACGAACTGGACTACTGTTTTATTACTGGAATGTACGTATGGTACCTGCTKTGTAGGCTTACAGATGCAATCTGGAAATCTTAAGAAATACAGGACTCTCTGATAATGTACCGTACGTAGTTCACGAAGAAGAACAACAACGGCATGTGCACGGAACAAGGAAGAAGCAAACGCAGTTTTCTTCGGGAGGAGCAGGAGTACCTGAATTTCTTTGTATGTACCGGTACCGGTAGAATCCGTACTCGTACCAGAGTGCACTGACGGTTAGTACGTACTGACTGTACTTACTGTACTGTACTACAATACAAGTAGTATCTATTACAGTACTGTACCGTACGTACTTCGTACATAAATTGTGAATTGTAAAAATTGTACCAGTTCAATTCTAACCATACCGGTATGATGATGACGTACCAAGAATACTGTACCATAGCAAAAAAGAATYCCATCCATAAAACGTCTTTCACCCACCTGCGGAAATGCGTTGGCGAACCTACTGTACGGTCTGTACAAAATCTACTCGTACTAGTACGTTCGGTACGGTAGTACTACGCGTAATAGTTATCGGAACAGTACAAATGCATCGGAGGGAGGAAATCAATTTAAATTGAAAAGTGCGAAACAAAAACTTTCCCTTGGACAAACAATAAGTGATACTGGCAATGTTACACGATTGAATAGAAACAAGGATGCCGGTTCGAGACGAAGATGTAGCACAATTGGTGTGCATGGGATTCCCCGAGGAACAGGCTCGAAATGCACTGCAAACTACCGCAGGAAACTTGGAAATGGCCGTTAACCTACTTCTTTCCGGAGAKGCCATCGGAAGCGCAGGGAACGAAAATGGCGCTTTGCTGTCCCCTACTGCGATACCAGCTGTTCCTGTTGCAACCGAATCTCCAGCTGCGGTGGTGATAAAGGGTTCGTCGAGCCAGTACTCGCATGGTCCCGACGGACGCTCGGCTTGCACCTGCATCGCGTTAACGGCTGCCGACATCCTTGCCAGCAGCTGCACAGCAAAAAGCAGAGACAGCGACGAGCAAACCTCGATAACGACTAGCTTTYTAAACCGTGCCATCGAAGAGGGAGTTTCAAGGTATCGAATCCTGCGGCRACGGTGCGATGCTGGTGGTGGGTCGAACAGCAGCATCGAACACTTGTCGGCGGAGGAAGTCTTGCTGAAGGACGAACAAGGAGCGGCCCCCGAAGGAAAACACCTGTTTGGCGTTCGCGTGGTCGCTATTGGTGGAGGACTAGGCGTCCGCCAGGGGGCATTGAGTCGCGACCCTGGCCACCCGCTGGGACTGCCGTCTGTCCTCAACGGGCTTGTGGGAGACGTTCGAGAGCAACGAAAGCGGGAGTGGAACCAAACCGGAAACACAAATGGTTCCGCGAACGGCAGACCGTCACCTATGATTTACATTCTGATGACCAAGTCGCCAGAGACGGTTCTCTTGTGTCTCCCTTGTGACRACTGCAAAAAGGTCAATGAAAAAGGACGGTATTGGCTCGTGGATTCCCACCCCCGGCCCCACCTATTTCAGCGAGCCGAACACGCCTATGCGAAACCTCACGACACCATGGATTCCCTTTTACAAAGTCTCCGGTGCATCTTCCCGTTGACAGATCTGGGCCCCGACATTCCACCTATGATGGCGGATATGTACAACATGTTTGATTTGTACGCACTTGAAGTGCGAGCGTGAAACACCGATGATAACCTAACAGAACAAAAAGATTGTTATCAATTTACCCTCTCAGTCCTTCACACGAATGGCAACGACTTGAGGCCATCGGCAAGAATTTCGTACCCTTCTGGATAGCATTRGCGGTGTACCTCCCACTGTGGTTATAATGTGGGCAACAGAGACTAGACGATTCGCACACTCCTTTGAACTCTTGACTGGCAAACGATCAGGTCAGGCATTCGAAACTACTAGTGATTCGAGGGAACAACAASAAGAAGCAAAAGAATAACGCTCCACAGAAGAAGTTGAAATCGCACGTCCYCCCTTCAGAAGATCAGCAGCTAGTTGTTGGCTTTTCCTGTTTACTACATCTATCCCAAACAGACAGCGGATTTTTCTCGCACATCAATGAATCGAAAGGACAGATGCAGAACATGTTTTGTCGCTCCAAGAAAACATTCATTCGTTCTACCCAAACTTCCAACTATTTGTCGTGGTGCCTACYATCGACAACAGAATTATTTCATAACGGTGTGAAGAATACCACGTAATGTATCGTTTTATCTTCTAGCGTCGTATGGTAGACGGTAACGTACCGTTCTGATTTGTCTAGCGTGGTACAGTACTGTACTTGGATACGTACTTTTAGTATCGGTAGGTGATTGGTCTGGACTAATCGTTTTTTTAAACCCGCCATACCTATGGCACGACTGAATCGAACCTGAGAAGCCTTCCGAAAAAAATTAACGATGAATCTGTATCAGCTTCACGAATGTCCGGAACGAGCACGAGCACTTGAATAACAACTACCCTGCAATGCATCAGCAATTGTTACGAGTATCCATATGAATGTGATGGATTGCGGAGTGATTTATGAGTAGAAGAGGGTTAGGTGATAGTACTGCACCAGCAATTTTGCAATGTCATTATGTTTGCAGTTGGCGGACATACTTGTGCTTAATCACGCATGTTCTTCCGTAGAAGAGGCGGAGGTGATCGCCGAAATAGTTTTGGAATTGGACGGTGATGATGCCGAGACCAATGCTAACCAATGCACCAGTTGTGCTTTCTGGACGAAACGGGATGACGTTGTTGAGAACTTGGTAGACAATCTGGGCATTGAGAAAGATGAAGCCAAGAATATAATTCAACAATTGAAAAATAAGACCACAAATGCTGACGACGAGGGCGAGCAAACTGACGACAGCGATGAGGAAGAATCAACACAATCACAGGAGAACAATAACGAAGACGACGGGTTGGGCTACTTGGTCGACGGGGAATGCGAACTATGCGACAGATACATCAATCTCACAAAGCACCACTTGATTCCAAAGTCGACTTGGCCGAGAATGCAAACGAAACTTTTGCACGCTGCCGAAGCGAACGAAAAAGGTGACAGGGAGAAGGCACTGCTCATTCTCGGTCCGGGCTTGTTAGATCTTCTAGAGGGTACCCAAAGCGGTTATCGATTTGTCTTGTCTAGTGACAAGGCCGTTGTACGGGCAATACTTCACGATACTTGCGATATCTGCCGGCAGTGTCACACAACCGTACATGCGACGCACAACAACATGGAGTTGGCTCTCCATTACAACACCGTAGAGAAGTTGTTAGAAGACGAACGCATTTCAAAATTTTGCAAGTGGGCTAGCAGACAAAAGACAGGAAAGTATCGCCGGGGATCTTAAATGCATTCGTGATAATATACAAGGCCTGCTGTGTTCATGGTACATGCAGTGCATAACGCATAGATTGTTTTGAAAACGAATTAATGTTTAGTAGATTCAAACTGACTAAAGCATAAAAATTGATTGGTAAAGGACAGTGACATCGACATGAATACCGTGTGGACAATTGAAATCGAATTGCTGAAAGAAAATCAATAAAACCTTATTTGTCTTCTTGTTCACCCTTCTCGTCCACCTTTTCCTGCTCTTTTCCCTCTTCTTTTTCCTCCTCAGTTAGTTTCTTTCGTTCGGGCCATGCTTCTTCTATGTTATCCAATTCCCCCCTTCTTTTCATTGTACGATAGCAATCCTGGTATTAAGATGAAGAAATGCGGATGAGTTCTCGAAACAACGAACAATCTAGGCAAGGTTCCGGGGTCTCAACCTTCCTTAACTTTTTGTCCAGAAAAATTAGAGAGATTCAAAGCTTACCTTGATTTGTCCGCTGGTTCTATCTCTCAGGATGACGCCTTTGTCATTCTTAATCCTTGCCCACATGCCAACTCCAAAACGAATGATACCATCTTTGACTGCCTGCTTTTCGATGTCTGACCAGACTCTTCTCCCTTGATACGATTTTTCTTGGCTCCTCTTCTTCTTAGATGGGGTACCAGGCGAAGTTCTCACTTGAATGGGACGTCTTACGTCAGGAAGAACCTCATCCTGTACTTCTGGATCTTCGATTTCCTCATCGTCACTTTGTGTGAAATCGAGGCGCGTTGCCGATCTCTTTTTATCTAGCATTCTTCCCTTCGTGATAGGGGACATTCCACGTCGCCGTTTGTACTTTTTGACTGCTGTAGTGTTGGAGGGGCTGCGTTCTGTTCTATCGTTTTCCTTCTCGCTGTGTTCGTCGTCTTGTGGCTCGTCTCCAGAAGGCATAGGGCTTGGGTGTTTTCCTTCTTTGTTCAGCTGTGCAAGAGTCGCAGCCGCCACTGTTTCGCTCATAGGATCTTCCACGCGTTCCCTTAAACGAGCTCTGGAACGCTGGAGTCGTTGAAGCGCATCGGTTTGGCTTTCTTCGACGGCTGCTTCCGGATTGGCCCTTCCTACTATCGTCACTGGTTGGAATACGTCCGAAACCCAGCGGCGGATGAGCTTGTCGACTCGATTTCGCAAAAGTGTGAACGAGTACGCTTTGGTGTGATCGTCCAAAAGACCTCTAATGGTAGCGGGGGAACGAAAGGTATCGGTTCCATCGCTTTTCAAAAAAATGCGAAATACCTTTTGGAAGTCCTTGGTTAGAGCTTCATTCCTACACTGTAGATTGTCGAGTGTTTCCCTACAAAGAATGTGATGCAATATGATGGGATTTTTCTCGTGAGAACTTAACAAATATAATGTGTCGGGAAACAAAGTAGATATTAGATATTCTTTCGCACGATGGAGGAGTACGTACATATATTCCACCACAAGATCATTTGGAAGGGGCAAAGGCTCACTAGCCTCGTCATTAAAATACCAGCTCATGCTCTCTAAATTTTCGCGAAAGGGAGCAAGTTTTTCCTGGAGCGTCAAAAGGTCAACCACTCTATATAAATTGTCAGAGTACCATTTACTTTGCTAGAAGGGGTGTCGTCGATTTTCAAATATGTGTAGTTTACAATGGATATAAATGGGGTGAGAAACATCCGCTACAAGTATAAGGCGATTGGAGCTTGCTTTTGTGCTGCTATTGCGATCATGCCTACCGGCGGATGTCCAGACTACTGTGTTGAGCGATGGGATACTTACGGATCGGGCCTCGTCGATGGACGGATTTTCACTATTGTTACGATCACCGTTGTGACGATATATGTCATCGACGGTGGCATTAGCATCTTCGCGCAGCATGCTCATTTGGATTCTGGTAAGACGGCCTCGAAATGCTTTCCAATCGAATGGTTTCCATTTGTAAAACGGTTTGGTGTTGTGAGGCGAGCCCTGCTCACTAAGACATGGTTCCTGGTCGTCCGCTCTTGCGCCCTCCATCAACTCGACAAATTCTGAAATTTTGGAGAGATTGTGAAGCTTTCCGTACGACAAATTCTTCAGAGTAGACTCTCGACTATGCAATTCCTAGCATCGATGGATACAAAGTGAATGGGTTTTTGTTGAAATTCAACACGGGTTGTCAGACAAAAAAAACGAAAAGCCACAAACAGTTGCAGGTGTGGACAAACAACCGAAATAAGAATGAGCAGATTAATGATGAAGAACTACAAGACTCGTACTGATCAATTCAAAAAGCATATCAATCCTCGCAAGAAAGCTCCCGTGGACTCGGCCATTCCGAAGCAGGCGGTGGAAACATCACTAGGCATTCAACAGCTCCCTGGTATAGCAAACGGCTAGACCGGCAGAAATACATCCTTTTCACTACTTGATCATTTCGAAGGCCATGTCCGTTTTGGAATTTTCTTTTGTTCACCAGATGTGATATTGCGATCCTGGAAGAGTCGCGAGAGAGCGTCTACCTCTCTACCCTCGTTCCTCCCCTATGCTGCATGTGTCTAAAGGCATATTCAACAAGAGTGGTACTAACACGTTGCCAAAGGCACAATAAAGCGAAGAATGTCGATTGCTATCCTATTCTTACTTACCCTGAATAGTTTACAATATTCAAGACGCGATTCGCCGTTCGAGAACACCAACTGCTGTGCTATGAATTCGAGACAATTCTCCGTCACGACTTGACCAACAGAAGCCATGGCGACCTAAGTAGTGGATAAGAGAGACGAAAATGGGAAGAATGCGTACTTTCAGGAGGGGCAACGAATAGAAAACCGGTAGCGTAGCTAATACGGTGCAGAGTTGTATTCCGAAGATTTCTGTTAGGTATCTCGCAATGTATTTCAATATTGTTGTTCAGTCACAAACTGATCCAAAGGGTCCTGTACTTGCTCGTACTTGTGCATACTCGTACCCTAATCATTGTTTTCTGATCTTGTGAAAACCCTTCCCTGCTGTCCCCGATTGCAACCCTACTTGCGGCCAGTGGAAACCCTACCTTTTGCCCTACCTGTACCGACACCGTAGATCGGTAAAACAATAAAACCCACGGTATACCGGTAGGGTTTTTTGTTCTTGTAGTACAGTAAGTACTACTATCTACTCTATCTGAGGAGTGTATGCATGTGCGTGGTGTACTCTACATTACGTACAGTACTTACCGTATGTGACGTAATGCACATTATCGCACGGGAAACTGAACGAAGACCACAACGCTTGGATCCGTGGTACGAGTACTCGTACCGGTACACTTGAACCTAAGGACCGGCGGTGAAAAAAATGTGGCGCGGACGACCCATACCGGTAGTATCAAGTGATCGCGGCACTAAGAAAGTGGTTCCCATCGTTAACTTAGTAATGCCATCCTTAATTTTTTCAGTAGAGATTCTACAGAGCTCTACTGAGTGTTGCTCCCCAAAATTTTCAGCATGATTTGCTTTCTGAGAAAGAAGCAGGATTGGTTCTCGCCCACCTGAATAGTTGCAAACTACCTCAGTACATTTTGTACTGTGTTCTACTGGACTAAGGACGGCATCATTAAATTAGTAACGATGGGAACCACTTTCTTACTAGTAGTGCCGCAATCACTTGTTACTACTATGATATCCGTAGTACACCATAGTAGTATTTACTGTACTAGTAGTACTTCTGTACTGTATGTTACGAGATTGTGGTTACATCTGGCGTCTGATTTATAACAGAATATGAGTCATAATTTTGTAAGCCATTTTCAGTTATCAGCTGAAGCTTTGCTTGCTTGTTACTACTGCTAGCAAAGCACCAGTCAGAGTTGTTTGAGAATCCATTAGTTGGAAAGAGTTCTTTTTATTCTTCTTCTACTACTACTAGTAGTAACTCTACATCATCTGCATATTGCTGGGGGGTTTTGTCAGGGAACCTTTTTGGTCTTGCTGGTTTCTCCTCCTCAAATCACACAAAATGCAAAAAACCTCTCATTTCATCAACCTCATTGTATGGTCCTGTCACTCCTCCAGTTCAGCTCCATGAAAAATGCTTTTTATCTTCTTCCTAGTAGTGTGCTTGACACAATGCACATTATGCAGCCAACCAATAGAAACTATGGGCCATTCAAATCAATGTTCAGGCAGAATTAGCAAAAGCTTTTGTTGTACTGTCATAAAATGGGGGAAAAGGTCTGGTAGACTGATTTCCCACTGCTCGTCTTTGGGAAGCAAAGAAATTGTTGGTAGTACAAACCTGTTCAACTTGAGCATGCATTTTGCAATGCCTTTGAGGTTGAAAGAAAGCCAAAGGTAGTTGGGCCAAGATTGGGATTGCTCCATTCAACACCCCCACCACCCCCACCAGACAGGAGAGTCTCAACAACCACCAGAAGGAAGTTGCTCACAAACTAATTATGCTGCCAGACAGTAGCATTGATGTTGACACTGATCCTAAGATGGCAAAATCTGGTGGAATGGGAACAAGTGAATGTTGCAGCAGTCCAAGTGCTCAATGATGCTGGGTTCAATGGAGAGAAATACAGAAGATTTGCCCCAAGGCTATTGACGTCTGTAATACCAGTGACAAAGGCTGCAACCAGGGAATAGTAAGATGCAATCAGAAGTATCAAGTATTTGAGCGGACACTTTATTAGTACTACTACGACCTCAGGTCATACACTAAACAGTGATGAATATTTCATTGCAGAAGAAAGGTGACATGCTGTGCGTAGGATATCAGATCATGGGTATGATTTGTCTCTAAGACACATACCAATGATTCATACATGCTCTACATTCATGGTGACTCATTCAATCTTATGGATCCACACAATCAACTTGACTCATTTGATTCACTTGCGTGACTGACTTGACTTATTCCATTCACACATCACTTCTTGATCTTCACTCTGATTCTTAGATTTCACAGTTCATCAATCCTCGATACGAGCATCCACTCACTTTTCTTCTAGCACTCCATTTACATCACTATTAGATAGTCACTCCCACAGGTTATGACAAAAATTGACAACAGCTTGTCAAGGAGCTGGAAGCAGCAAAGAAGAAATCCAAAGAAGTGAGTGAGTTGAATGCAAAGGCAACCAGAGTGATTGAGGAATTGCTATCAAAGGGGAAAGATGAGTACAAGGAGGAAGATACCAAGTCACTTCCAATTTCAACACTCAAACTGCTGTACCAGTGGAAACAACAGAAGAAGATCCCTGTAAAGAAAGACAGTGTATTTGGTACTATTTGGATGAAAGTCAGGAATGTCCCTCCTCCAGAGCCATCCTAGAGGGACTCTGGTGAAGCTCAATTGCAGAAGCTTAAGGACAAAGAGATTACAATCAGGGACCCTTCCCACCTGTCGCATGATATACAGAAACACAAGCCCCTTGTACTTGACTAGAAGGTATAGTACAGCAGGATATACATGCGGTAGAGTAGGATGAAGCAGCAAAAGAGCAATTGGTAGCCAAATCAATCATAGTAGGGTATTGCGCAAACTACATGTAAAATAACAATTAAACTTTCTTTAAATAAGGGATTGAGAATGTTAAATTACCATTCAATGTTAGTATATTTCTGTACATAGATTCTTGCTGGTAGATTCTAGTATCCCCATTCTTCATTATTTTGGTCTTGTATGTGCCTTAGAAACAAAGGAAGAAGTGGTTTAAAAAAGAGGAAGGAGGACATCCTCCCCTCCTTTTAACATTCAGATTGTTAATGTATGTTAAATTCAAGCAAAAACTGCAGTACTCATTTTTATGTAGACCTGCAGGGTTAATGTACTGTACATTAATTTAACATTCTCAACCCCTGATTTAAACAAGAAAGTTCAATTGTTATTTTACACACAGCAGTATTCCTGTATGATATGGCTAAACCATGTAAAACAGGAGTAGATAGTGAGTGACAGCAACAAGCTCATCCAATCACTCCACTAAAGAGCATATATTTTACAGGTTATGGCAAACAGCAACAACAGACTTACCTCTTCTTCTTGTTATCAACCATATTTTGGAATTGCATCCTCAGCACCAGTAAGACAAAAAATCTTGCTAGATCCTAGGTTTCATGTTTTGTGCACAACATATGATGCATCATAACTGATTCCAAGAACAAGAAGAACAAGAACAAGAACAGAATAATGCAATAATTAGTTACTGTTGAGCAGCTCAACATTTCCATGCACTCACATGCGCTTGGTTACTGCGCGGTTACAAAAAACTAACACTAACAAACACTAGTTATTTTTTGCTTAAATACACGCACCTCGACAAGTTACAAGCGCGCGGATTGAGTTTTTGTAACCAGAAATTGTAACCAAACCCTTCCTTAAGGAGAGCCCATATTTTTTACACAATACTACTACTAGTGTGGTTACAAAAAAAAGGGTCTGGTTACCAAAAAAAGCACACAGTGCGCTGATGTGTGCTTGTAACCAGGCGCATGCACCTCAACAGGTACACTGTTAAGTACAAAAAAGAAAATTAAGTGGGAACTAGTACAAACTCATGTAGAAAATACAGTAGTAGAAATCAAAGTTTCCTCCACATCAGTATCAGTAAGTCGTATTCAGCTCCTCTGTATCAGCAACTCTTATCCAACTTGTATCATATCAGCGTCCTCCATATCACCAGCAACTCGTATCGTATCTGCGGCTCCTCTGTATCATATCAGCGTCCTCCNTGTATCATATCAGCGTCCTCCATATCACCAGCAACTCGTATCGTATCTGCGGCTCCTCTGTATCATATCAGCGTCCTCCTCCATATCAGTGATCGTCCTCTGTATCGTATCAGCGTCCGTATCGTATCAGCAAGCGTCCGTATCATATCAGCGGCTCCTCCGTATCAGCGTCCTCCGTATCATATCAATGAGCCTCTGTATCAGTGAGCGTCCTCCATATCAGTGAGCATCTTCCATATCATCATCCTCCGTATCAGTGAGCGTCCTTTGGCCGCAGTAACCAAGCATGTGTGAGTACATGAAAATGTTGAGCTGCTTCAACGGTTACATAAATATCTGTGGAAGAGCTCTGCTTCAGCGCAACAAGTATCTTCAACAAGCTCTTGAGCTTGGTGAAGATACTTGCAGTAACCTCACTTCGATCTTGAGCTAAAGCTCTCGATCTCAGTGACGTTACTGGTGTAACCAAATTGTAACCAGAATTTTGTACCTTGTCAAGTCCGTGTTATTATTTTTGTACTGTGCACGCAAGAGCAAATGCGCAAGCTCCTCCACAGATATATAACATACCACTAATAGAATTAATTGGTGAAACCCAAAAAGAAGCATAAAAATCCCCAAATCATTAGCCTTCCAATGTTTTCCATTAAATTCCAGCAATATATCCTTTTTCCTTGTTAAACCATCTGCAATTAACTTTGGTTTCAATTCAAAAAGTTTACCTTCTATGAACTCATTATCTGACATTACTACAAATATCAGAACAAGTGATCACTGCACTAATGAAGTGGTTCCCATCTTTAATTTAATGATGCCATCATTAGCGCAGTAGAACAAAGTAGGAACTCTACTGAGGTAGTTTTCAAATATTCTGCTGGCGCAGAACCAATTCTGCTTCTTTCTCAGAAGGCAGATCATGCTGAAAATGTTGGGGAGCAAAACTCAGTAGAGCTCTGAAGAATTTGTATTGAAAATATTAAGGATGGCATGATCACTTGTTATGATATTCCTAGTATCCCCTAAGAAGTAACTGCTAGTAACGCATTCACTTTCATTTTTAGACAGCAGCAAGCAGCGGGGTAATGTAGCACCAAATAATCCCCACCATGACAACACTTCACAATATTCTTGTTGTTGTTGCTTCAAAATAGAACGATGATGCAAGCTTGTTGCTTTGAGGGGCAAAAAGATACAGTAGAGAAATGAATTCTACAGTATCTAGCTACCCCCAATGATTCAACAGCGGCTCGCAACGTCCGCACTTGTAGTTTGGACGTGGAGATACAGTTGGGTCGATCAGAGCTGGTAGTACTTGTAAATACGCGATAATCATTCTGATGGTGTTACTGCTAGCCAGCATAGGTCCTTCGTTCCATTTTGTGCTCTTGTTCCTATCTCCCACCCCAGAGCTGCGTGACGTCCTGAGATGTGCTCTTAGCCCGAAGCGATGCAATGGACGGAGGCGCTCAGGTGGTGTATCTTTTCTTCCCCGCTTTCGAATCGAACCACCATCCTCCTGACTGCCATACCCGTCATTTGGTCACTTTCTACAGCCTGGATCTTGAGGCCACGGCGTTTTCCTCGTTCACTTTCAGGACGACCTTGCCGGTGTTAGTTCCCCGAAACAGGGAGAGCAAGGCGGGGTAGAATTGTCCTATGCCGACGTGGCGCATGTCTTCCCCGTAGCAACGAATCTTCCCGTCGGAGATCCATTTCACCAGGTCACGGATGGCGGTCGGGTACTCTTTCTTGTAATCAAAGACCACAAACCCTTTCATGGAGGCGCGCCTGACCAGCAGGTTCATGTAATTCCTCGGACCGTTGGAAGCACCAGCAGATGCACCCGTCTGGTTGTACCGGGAGATCGCACCACACAACACCACCCGCGCTCCTCCCTTTTCAGCAAGGTTGCCAAGAGCAGCCTCCAGGAACTCCGAGCCGACGTTGTCGAAGACCACGTCTACCCCGCCTTGCATTCGTTTGGCTCTTCCAGCGTTGTGTTTTCCGGGAGACGAAGCCTCCCGAATCGCCCGCGACAGGGAGGAACCCGCAGTCTTGTAGTTGATCGCAACGTCCACGACACCGTTGGCTTCCAGCCACGCGCATTTCTCGTCCGTCCCCGCCGTCCCGATCACGGTCTTGCACCCCACTACGTGCTTGGCGATCTGGGCAACGATCGATCCGGTGGCACCGGCAGCACCCGATACCAGGACGACGTCGCTGGGCTTTGGTTCGCCCACCCTCAGCAATCCAAAGTAAGCGGTCATCCCGGTCGTTCCGAGCACGCCCAGGTGCGATGCGGGGGAGAGGCCGGTGCTTCTCGGGATTGAAGCCATCTCTAGCCTTGTCAACCGCTTCCGGGCCCGCGCCTCGGAATAGCCCTCCATCACGAAGTACGACTGTACCCCGACGATCTCACTCCGAACAAGTGAGCCCACAGGAAAAGCTCGCTCTAGAGCACGAGGAGCGGCGGCGATCACCCTAGAGACGGTGGAAGCCCTCATGACGGATCCCAACGGGACGGGAGGGAGATAAGACCTCTGCGTGGACATCCACCCCCTCATTGCCGGATCGATGGAGACGTAAAGTGTCTCCAGGACGATCAGAGAATTTCGGTCGTCCGAATCGTTTAGCTTGGCATCGCTCACGACGATGTTTTCCTGCTCCAATCGGAAATCTTCCGGTTGGGGCAGACCATTCGGTCGACGAACCAAAAGGATTTTTTGGTTTCGGAGAACGATGTCGTTCCCTTTCCGTGGGTCTGTCATCCTTTTCACTCTATACCATTAATAGAGCAGCAGTACAGCAGCTGGTTTCGGTGCGGACGCAAGATCTACAGGCTTTGGACGGTACCGGAAGGTTCCGGAACAGGGTGGATTAGTCGACGTGCAATATTGCACCTACCCATGAGAGAGTGTGTTGGAGAGCGTACGCATGACAGACAGAGAATGACAGGCTCGCACACACGATTCAAAATAATCCGTTGCAGGACAGAACAAACCTGGGA